ACCACGGGCACTATCTTATAATCAGTCCTCTACATGGACACGGAGAAGTTCCGAATGAAAATCCATTAATATAACCACGCACTTTATCCATAGTAGGGGCTCTAGTTTTGCTGAAGAGACGTGCGGGAAAAAAAATGCGAGCTCCGTTTTTAGGCTTGCCTAACTCTTTGTATTGCCTTATTGTTGACCCAAGAAATGTTATGTACATTATTGGCGTTATTCCAATTCGGTTCTTATCGTGCAGTCTTGCATGCAAATAACAAAACTATGAGATGAATGCTATTCCTCAGCTATCATGTTTGACTTATTTGTTGTATTTAGGATTTTGATTCCTTGATTACTCAATTTTGTAACAAAGAGAGTGATAACCGTGTCAATCAAAATGAGGGCAAGTGAAGATATCGTATAACCAAGTTATTGTCATAAAACGGGATCACGCGAACAAATGTCGAAAGAATGACTTTGACAAACATCAAGTGAGAAGGTTTGGATTGTATACCGTGTGTGATAATTTTGGGTCATAGATGGAATATATAGTTATCTTGTCACTATTGACAACTTTTAGCAGTATTTAGAAGTAAACTTTATCATTTAAGAGTCACGTGAGTTCAAAACCCCATCGAGGCAGATAATGATTAAATGAATAAAAATCATTCGATTGCAGTGATACCGAGTAGGATAAACATATGTAACCCCTGAGATAGGTTTAAGATGGCACGATCAATTCATTGAGTGATTGAAAGATAAAGGGACAGAATGTCTGGTCTCAATTCTTAGCCCTGCGTTGCCAAAATAGGATTATGCCTCGAAACAGTTGCATGGTAGTTTCTCCCGATTCAAATATCTGTTGCGGAAAAAAATTCACAACCCGAATAAGAACATCCCTTTTTCAAATCACACTGTATGTCTTTTGAGGCTGATTCTACGGCTATCGAGCCGTCGAGTGCCTGTGGATGCATCAAAGGCATATTTTGAGCAATTTGAAAACGAATCCAACGTGTTTTATCCATGTCTCAAGGAATGACGATCCATGTGTTTGTCGTGTGAAATCCTACTCCTTCGTCGCCATGATGCTATTTCAACTATGCTTAACGTTTCCTCTTCACCTTAATTGCCCATCAATATCCTGTTCTCCTTTTGAGAGATCATAAGACAAGTTCATTAAAATTTACTTATTCGAGAGAAGTTGTCAAGAGAGTTTGCCAAGGTCACGCACGTAAGCGCCATTGCGCCAGCAAAGAAGTGTTTATACACCAAAAAAAAAAAATCCTATTCAGACTTGAAGATTAGTATTAGCGGCAACCTTTATTTTTGCACACCCTCATAATAGGGGTTTGCATTTAACATGTCAATTAAATATTTGCAAATAAAAATTGTGGTAGCATGAATTACAAGTAATCATCAATAAGATGTAAAGCTTCAGTTTCTCATTGGTTGATAGGGATTCAAAAGTTGTCCTTAGTTAGGAGTGCACAACGTTTCTTTAATTTTACAATGATGGTTGGTTTTGCCCGACGCCAAAATGTCGATGTCTACTTTGTTCGGTGGTTTTCTCAAGTTCGTTTATGGCTGATTTGGTCAGATGGGCATGCTGTCTTCAGACTCTTGCGAGCAGTAAGGTCCGCTTGAACCGTTCTCAAACGTGTAAAGTCGTATACGTAGCGGCAATCTGTGGCTGATTTTATCTTCCTAGCAAAAGATAAGAAGAGTCTTCTATTTCATCCATGTGAACTTTAGTCTTTCTTAACCAATCACAGAATCTCTGGTATTTTGCTACAGTCCAACAGTGACACGAAAGGTTGATCAACGTTTTAGCAGTCCGTTCAGAGCGTGCATAACCCAAAATAGCTTTGTGCCGTCTAAAAAGATGTATTCAGAAGGCTGTTTGGATAGTGGCCAAACATGAAAAATTGCACGAAATTATTTAAACACTTACTTCTCGATCTAAAGTTGTTTCCTGGGGCATCAGTGTATTTCTTGAACCGGACGAAAATGTTTCGTGGCAGGCACCGGGTAATTAAAGAAAAGAAAGAAAAGATTCTATTTTTTCTCCGCGCCTGAAGGTTTTAAGCCACTTCTATTACATATTTTTCCTTATTCGTGTAATTCTGATCTTAACGAGCTATCTTAAACGCGGATAAAATCCGCTAGAAAGAGTCAGTCCTGTTCCTTTACTGCTAAGTGAATGATATCTTCGGACGTGAGTTCATCAAATACTCTGACCTCAGTAATTAATCAATATATGCATGGATTGATTGATTGATTTGATTATGGTGTGATTGCATGGCTCTCTTACTGTCATTGCAGGTGAGTGCATTTAATTGGGTATGCTTTGACATAGTCACAAGTTATGTGCCCTCGCGTTGTCAAAGCTTATAATAAAATGACGAGACAACTCTCTAGAACCGAACACGAGATCCTCAAATAATTAATAGCGTCTGCTTTATGGCGGATAGGTGAAGAAAAGTTGTTTAAGTAATTTAGTTGTAACTCTTTTTTTTTGTTTTAATTGTGCACGCTGATTGAATCGGCTTAACAATCTGTAGCCGTCTTTCTAACGTCACCAGATGACATTATATTTACTTTTTTGTTAGAGTAACTTTAGAGGAGCGATATCAATCTGAAGTTAAGGCGGGAGAACTACAAGGTAATGGAATATAGCATAATACTTTGCATTTCCAAGTTTAAAATAAACTAAACTCTCCTTGAATGATACACTCAGTGTCGAATAATTTTAGGAAGAAAAACTTTTAAGATGATAAAACGCGTAATCTTTCGTCTTATTTCTCGGAAGCGATGAATAGGACCACCTGCTTTGTTTCCGATTTGGTAGCCTAATTAGATTACTCACCGTACCCCTAGGCTTAAATCCTCTCTGATTAGCAGATATAAATTACACACTAGTTCAGTTGGTGGTATCAACTTAATTTCATTTGTATTGCTTTGCTAACTCGCTTAATTTCGGACGAGTTTCAAAAGCGAACGCCCCCACAATATTTCCGCGAAGAGTTAGAGATCCATAAGTAAATGATGACAGATGTCATTTTTTAAAATCAACGATAATTGATAAGACCATTAACCACTCCTGCTCATGCAATAACGTACTGCGTTAGAAGGAATATTCTTACATTGCAATATCAGAACTATTCATGCAACTGGCGAGGGGAAATAAATACTTTGTAAGCCAGTAAAGTATTTTGCAATGACTGTTACTATATATGAAATTGTTGGAGATATCTAATGATAAGTGGCCTGGTACAGTGACTTTTAAGGCTACACGAAACTACGCCTTATTACATTATTTACAGTTTCTATTTTCGATATATAAAGGTTAACATATACTATGATTTACAACGAAATCTATCACAGGATTCTGGATATCAGTGATTACACCACCTAAAAGCTCGTTCGTGAAAGTACGACGGGTTTAATCCATAATTATATGATAACAAATAAGATTTTTTAGCGTCAGCTTTAATTAATAGTGCCATTTTATCGTTCCTTTCCTTTACAGTATCGTAATGCTTATAAGAAAATATATTGCATTGTAACATTCACAGTTATTCATGGAACTGACAAAAACAAATCTGTCGCTTTTAGGCCTCTGATCTATTTTGTGACGAATACTTCAAAGTGCTCAATAAGAGCATTTATCTTCATTTTAGTTTCGTGACTCTCGAGACTAATCCAAACTACGCCTTGATTCTTTACCATCATAGACTTCCGCGGCATATGGGAGATTAACGACATTTTAGTTATTTGATCACCAATCCCTTAATTGAAATATAAATCTTTCCTGACCTCTGTCTCCACACTATACATAGTCCTCATGACCTCGTACTTCTTTGCCACAAGCGTGGTGTCTGTCCAACAAACTGTCAGTCCCCTCTAACATTTGAAAAAGGAAAAAAAAATTCCTTTCATCTTCGAGGATCATGGTTTCATTTAAATGCAAAAGTGAAACTGATCGACGTCTTATTCCTGACCAATTCTTTCTGATCCTTTTCACTGGCAAAATGGCTTGCTGCTTACTCGAACCAGTCTTTACCTCCCTTAATTCCATCATAAAAGCAGCCAGGGTCCATCTCAATAACACTCTTCGTCGTCTTGGCTTAATTTAATCAGTCTGATCAAGACGTCACATAAACTCCTGGTCAGATTTGAATGAGATATATTTTTTTTTTATTTTGAGAAATAGAATACCCTGGGAAAAAGCCGACGGGCGAGATTAAGGAACTGAACCGTAGAGCTGTCAGCTTTCACTTTCAATCATTTCACTTCCAGATCTTAAAAGTGTGTCACTAATGTTTTAAAAACGTTATGTTATGTTTTCACTTTCTATGATAAAACGAACCTAGCCATCCTTTCAATTTTTACTCTCGTGTTAGAATTGATTTCCTAAAGTTGTATTGATGCTAGCTATATCAAGTCCTCTACATCACCTATAAAATAACTGGTTGAAATTAATAGTCGGAATTTGCAAATTTCCGCAAAAATAGACGACCTCGAGGGCTTGAAAATAATATTTAAAATAAGATTCCGAAAAATTTATATTCCATTCGATATCTGAGTGGAATTTCCGGACATTTATATCGAATAGAACTATTTAGCAATATGTGACACCAAGAAAACTAAGCCGGATTTCATCACAACATGCTTTTGAATTACGGCCAAAAAACCGTCATTTGTTTTAACATAGCCTTCAGAGCAGGCGTAATTTTGGCTATCGGGTGTCAAGTAATTTCATAACGAATATTGTAGCCGCCATCTTAATGACAGCAGAACGCTGGGGAGAGTACAAATTTATACCAAGGGGGCGGTCGACTTTCAAAAATAAGGAGAGGGGTGGGGGTAGGGGAGTAAAGATTACGCCTGCCCGAAGTCATTGTTATTTTGCCACATTCTGTTCGCCCACGAACGGAGTTCCTGATTGGTTTGGGAATTGACACACTGTCAATCATTTCGGTGTGACATTTTGCTCTTACTGGAGAGAGAGGAAGATGGCTGATCGTGAAGTTATGTTAGATTTCGGTCTCGAGGAAGTACTAAAGAGTCTCTCGGAATTTGGTATATCTCGTGCTTTAAAATGGGAACAAAAAGGAGTAATTGCTACACTGGTTACTGGAAAACATCTGCTGGCCGTGTTGCCAACTGGTTTTGGGAAAAGTCTGATATTTCAGGTACTAGTTTGTGTAAAAGAAACAATGACGGGGACACCTTCGAGCGTAGTTGTCGTTTTTCCGCTTCAGAGTATTGTGTGTGATCAAATGGAAGAAGCGTCTTCCATGGGATTAACGGCTGCTACGCTTACGAAGAGTCGTTTGAAGGACATCGAGTGCAGCAAATATAACCTGGTATTTGCGTCAGCGGAGGAGGTTTTAGCGAAGTCATTTCTTTCCTTATTTAAAAACGCAGCCACACCGTTTCATCAGAATATGTGTGCAATCATTGTGGATGATTCGTATACTGTGGAAACTTGTACAGGTCAAAGGTTTGTTCTCTTAATTCTATTTTAAATTGATGTCAAACTCTTATATGGTTCATTTATTTACTCTAACGCTTAGGCTTAGTTTGATCATCATTTCTTTGCCCGCTCGCGAATGATCACAGTACTGTTGTTATCTCAATTCAGAGGTTCGAAGAAAGGGAAGAACATTGCGTTCCCTGAATCTTTTGGTCAGCCTGGGCAACTGCGTTCATTTTGCAAGCAAGGTAACAAATTCGTGCAAATGAGCGTTGCACACTTTTCCGTATTCACGAGGTTATTTTATAAATTGAAACACATTCGTTAAAAAACCCCGATTTGCATGGTGAACTCCAGACCATTAATTACATATTTATGTTCACACGGTGGAATACCTAGTGGCTGCTAAGATGAAATATCGTTAAGATTTATTCTATTGTAAATAATGTTCCCCTTTTTTGTCTTACTTTCTTTTGTCCGTGAGGGTCGCTAATCCTTACTCCGTTCCTATTTTAAGGTACTCCAGTTGGCGCCCTTACGGGGACGGCAGACCCAATTGCTCAAGATACAATAAATAAGGTCCTTGATCTTGCACAAGATGTGAAATGCATTAACGTTAGTCCCAACCGCCATATTTTACGGTTTTTTGCGAGGATAAAGGAGCTAGACTGGTTTATTACCCTGTTGAGAAATGAGGGGGTAGAGTGTCCAAAGACAATTGCGTTTTGCAGCACAATAAATGAATTACCACTTATCACGAATTACATAATGTCGAGGCTAGGAAGGAAAATGTTCTCTCCTGCATATTCTCCTGTCCAGGACAACTGTCTAATTGAAATTTACCATTCTAACTCATGGAGAAGTAATAAAAACAGAGTGATGGAGCAGTTCAAGGGTTCAGGAGTGAAAAGAGTAGTTGTGGCCTCCACAGCACTTTGTATGGGAGTAAACTTCCCAGATGTTCGGTATTTTATAAATTGGGGCCCAGCTCGTTTCATCCTAGACCAACATCAAGAAGCTGGAAGAGCTGGAAGAGATGGAGAGAAGTCGCACGTTATTATTCTTTTCAATGGACAGCAAGTTGCACACTGTGAACAGGAAGTCAAAGACCTTATCAGTGCAGAAGGGTGTTTTCGTGTTCCTGCCTATAGGATTCTGGATTATTCCATTCAGCCCCTTGAACGACGGCATGATTATTGTTCTTTTTGTTCTCAATTATGTAAGTGTGGGGCAGGGGTTGCTGTGCACCCACCCTGCTACTTGAGGAGGCAAAAAAGCCAGCAGTGGAGGACACTAAAGCTCAATGCAGACCAGTCTCATACCAGGATAGAAAGACATTAAAAGAAGCACTGATCGAAGCACTAGATGAGATGAGAAGTAAAGGACTAGCATTAGATGAAAGCTCTTGTCATGGCTTCTCAAGGCATTTAATTGAGGATGTGGTAAGGGACTTTGAGAAGATTTTCACTTGTGTTGATTTACTTTCTGACTACCCTGTAGTTTCAATGACAAACGCATTAAAAATACTAGAAGTGATTCAGGAAGTGTTCATGGACATTCCTAATTGTGAAGAATCATTGGCACCTATGTTCGAAAATTCCAATAGTTCAGTTCTACAAGGAGAACCAAATGTAAATAACTGGTTTTATTTTGAAACTATCTCCCCCGGTATTGACAGTGACCCAAAAAGTCAAGAGCTGTGATGTTCTGCACCATTTTGTGGGGCCTGTGCTGTCCAGAGGTTAGAGATAGCGTGCAAAAATAACATTTTTGTTGTTGCCTCTTTTGCAAAAAAGTAGGTAATAATTTTTGGGAACATTTTCAGAGATTGTACCATTGTTAGCTGAAAAATAAACCAAAGAAAGTAAATCAGTTGGAAGAAATTCGAAAGAGATTAACATCTTTAATTTCATCAGGTTTATCGACAAATCTGTTTTCCTTGCACGATAAACATTTTCCTGTCTTAAATAACATTACACTCTTCAAAAAGCTGACCTTTTGTTGTATTTCCTGCAAATTATTTCTTCGTATGTTAACAAAACATTCTGGGACCTGAATCTCCTTCATGCACAATGACTTTTCGCACGTGTATTTTTCCAGTAAGCAAACAAAATAATACAAATTTTTAAGACCCCAAATCATTTCTTTTCAGTTACCAGTGTAGGGTGCAGGTTTTTGGCTGGTGTTTACGGTACTCTATCTCTGTATCAACTACTTTTAATTACTAGTTATCTTTCTTGTTGGAAGATAGTGCCCAATAAGTCAATGTGCTCTCTAAGCCAGTTGTGTAAGTGCTATGATTAAGACCAGACAGAAGATTGCGCTCAAACATCATTATTTTGTGGCAATTTAATTTAAAGAAAGCTTTTCTATTAGAGGAAAATCACAATGATTGTTAAGTCTCAAATAAATTAGGCAAAGTTGAGGATTCTTTTCATTTCACAACTGTCAGCACGGCATGTCCAGCAGGAATCATTGTTGAGGGCTGTATCAAGTTCAGTGGTTACTGTAATTAATGAAGTCAGTTCATTTCTGTTGAAGGAATACTTTTTCACATGCTCTTCGCATAATTCCAGAAGCCATGTTGCCCTTAACGTCTTTGATAGTGTAGTATCAGGCATGGGTAAGCAAGGTTTATCTAATGAAGGGAATGTGGATAGAGGGATGTTCGAAAGCTAGTATATTTTTATAAATCCTTACAGTGCATTTCACAAGACCACCTATAATCAATGTTCCTCTCTTCAATATTATCCTAGATAGTATAAAAATCACCCAAATAGTTTGTACTTCAAAAGCTATCATTGAGCAATGATTATATTTAGAATACCTGTTATATTGTTCATGCCCATCATCTCCATGAAAGAAGCATATTGGTGTGCCTCTATCCCTCTTTTATGAAGTTCACTATATTCATTAAAATGGTTTTCCACACCCTTAGTAGCATTTGTCTTGCCTGCCCTATTGATGCTTGCTCTGGAAGTGCCCACCTTAGCAGCAGATAAATGATTGACAAATATATTAAACTCCGTCTAATTTATAAGGGAAAAAGGAGCGAAAAATGAATGAAATTTTGTATGCGAGACTACGTAGTAGATTCAGCATGCTTGAATCGTCGTTTACTCGAATTCACGACCAGAAAATTGCATAGGTTTGTGTTGAAAATCTTTAAAATTCTGAAATTATACGGTTTTGAAATTAAAATGTTGTACTTTGACAATAATTTTGAAATCCAGCAGCTGAAAAACGACGCAACGTATTCAGTTAAGCTAGTGATCCCTTTTGCTGGACCCTTTTGAGCCTTGTCGACCACGCTCGTCAAGTTTTGTTGAAACATCCGGCACCCCATTAGATAAGTTTGAGCCTTTTAACAACTGTCCATTTTTTTCACTTTAAAAACTTCGAAGAAAAGGAAAGGGGAGATGTCTCAACATTTATGACGATAATTTTGAAAAAACAAATTTGAAAACAATCACACGATTGTAGTGAGCCAATGCAGCGAGCATGTCCACCCTTACACAATTACGACGATACTCAGTCTCGCAGATTTCTTCATCTACATTCCACCATCTACATTTCCTTTTTTTAAAGAAAAAAAAAACCCTTGTAGTATATTCCTGACTACTTGGCACTAAGTGCATTTAAGAGCGTAATCGTCCCCATGCATTTGGCAATGTGATTTGGACTGACGTATTCTTTTCTAATACAATATTGGTGCAAACTGCTGACGTGTGCTTGTCTAATACTTTGATGGTGACCCATAAAATATTAGGCATGTTATTTTGATTATTATAATTCCGTCCTTATCACAATAATGAAACGGTTTGGAGACACAAAATGATCCGACAGACACAAATGCTTCAATGGACACAGATGATCTGACAGACACAAATGATCTAACAGACAAACATGATTCAATAAACACAAATGCTTCAATGGACACAAATGATCCAACAGACACGAAAGCTTCGATAGACACAAATGACTTAACATACTCAAATGATCTCATAGACATAACTAATCCAACAGACACCAACGCTTCAAATGACGCATATGCTTCAATAGACACAAACGATCCAATAGACACAAATGATTCAGAGACACAAATGATTCAGAGACACAAATGACGCCACGGGCAGAAATGATCCAAGAGACATGAATGATTCAACTAGAAAAAATAATCCAAATGATAGAAATGAAATGATAGATAACCCAGTTGCCCCAAAAAGCCGTCTGCCTTCAGCAACATGGACCTCTTGATTTGATTCGTGGAAGTTTTCAATACCCTTTGAAAATAACGAATTCGTAACTAAAACATGAATTATGAATTCCGATTTCTTCATCGTCAATTAAAAGTCTCCGTTAAATCGGATTCGAAACTTAGAAAAAGCTGTCTATTTAGATGATACGTTGCTATGTTTAAGAAAGGAAATCTAGCATAAATATCTATTGTTGATCGCCAGTTGTTATTTTCTATCGGTGATTCTGGGCTCTCTGAAAACGCTTACAACATACTAGAAAATCGGGGGAAAACATTTCAGAAAACGGAATGTTAATCAGTGTAATGCTTGTGCCGGAAAACTAGTGTCATATATCAAGTTTTTACCTCATTAGCCGCTTCAGGAAAAAAACCAATCAAACACCGAGGTAACCCACGCTGGATAACCAATGCAAAACTGTTAGGAAAACAAATTGTAGAAATGAGTTTTTCTTTCGAAATTTCTATCGAAACACGTCATTGATAACGTGTGTAAGATGATGAGGAAAAGTTCAATAAATGTCGCTTGCGGAAATAATTTTATCCAAATGATTTTAAAAGTTGTAGCCACCGTAACCGTATGAGTTAGATAGTGATTTGATTGACAGATGAAAACTGATGAGAAGAGCTTAGGAAGGATTAGAGGCTACGGAAAGTTGCCAACATCTTCTTCTCTTATCTTTTCCTTTTATTTAAGGCACAAAGTTGCTTTTAGACTTCCTTAACTTCATTTCGTTTCTTTCATAAATGGCGCGAAATGATAGCTAAACCGTTTGCCCACATAACAGTGAAAAAATAACATAACATAACAGTGAAAATATATGCGTATTCAGGCAACACTCTCTGAAATTTTGACCATGCTGTTCCAAGGACTCCTTTTATAAAACTTGGTAACTGATAAATAGCAACCATTTTGGTTCTAAGAATCTGTTTGTTTGGTCTGCATTCCGAAGTGCCTGCATGATTAAGGAACGGAATTAGGATTATAACAAAGCCATTAAGCTCTCATGAAGTGTCAAATATCAGAGGATATAAAACAGCTTTATAGCTACTGTTTATAATGATAAGTCCAATATAATGAATAACTGAATGCCATTTGATTTGCTTTGCAATATTCATTGTTATAGATCTTTCTCACGAAGGAAAATCTATCATATCAATAAACAAAGATGGGTCAATAAGAGACTTCATCAAACACTATTTTAAATCTTGTTTAGGCAGAAAAAATTGAAACTAAGATATTTCTAGAAGACTTGCTGAATTCTGAACACTAGCTGTTACGATACTGTAGTTGTCAATCATGTCACATTTCAGTGATATGGTTGACGACTACATGCAAGTTGTCGCCACTATGAAAAAGACTGACCAAAGACGAGCCAAAACTAGAAACTTCCTGTTACGACCCCGTCGTAGATTCTCGATGTAGTTAGCTGCCTTAGTTTTATTTTAAGGATTAACAGAATTTCTAACCCCTGGAACGGCCTGAGACAATAGGATTTGTCTACTTTTTGTTTTCTCTGGGTATATTTAGCAGACAAATTCGCACGGACTTTTATTAGTTCCTGAACAGAGCACGAAGGAGGCGGGTGGTTAGGGTAAATAAGTAAGTGAAGTAAGTGAACTCAGCAGTATGTAGGGTCCTATTACTTTTAGGAAAAACTTTCCCATTGAGCTTTTTCCATAGAGTTTCTTAATGTTCTTTCCTATATTTATCATAAAATCGGTTTTATCTTTTTGCAGCCTTTATGAATAACACTGCAAACAACACCCGACGAATCAAAGTGAGGGACAATCGACAAGGAATGGGTATGTAACATTGTTCGATATGGAAGTCACAGTTTTGAACAACTTACTTGATTATATCCTATGCTTCGTTTTTCCAAATATGGAATTTTCGTTTTGAAGCTATTGAATACGAAGAGGCTGAAGTTTGCATCTCCTTTTAACCGATGGGGTTTGTATGCGACTCTCATTATAGCAAACACCAACAACTCTCAAAACCCAGTCAGTGTGCTCGATCACAGGGAACAGTAGTCGAACTCCAAACGTTTTGAAATCTTTCAGTCGTGGTATGATAAATGAAGTAAAGTCAGTTATCTGAAACAGTCGATCATTCACGCACGTGGTAGCCTATAACTTTCTTTTGCAATGAGCCCTGAACAATTTCACTTAAAAAACTCGATCGCCTTGTTCAATAGTTGGCTGAATTGAATCTCTTGGATTATGCAGATGTAGTTTTGAGTTCGTTTCTACCTTGGGAATGCCAAAATTAACAGCTATTGTTCTTTTTTAAAAATTGCGAGCGGGTTAAAATAGCGCAGGGGAGCTCTTGCAAGCTTCTTGTTTGTAGGTGTTTCAATTTCTTGCCCAACCATTGATTGGAAAATCATGTGTTGGAATGAAATGACTGATAGGATAATTTTAAAATAGCATATGCTTCATGGGATTAAAAGATAGCACTCGTCTTTTAAAAGAACGCAAAAGAAGGAACTTCGTGATACCATAAGTTGGATAACTTATAATAATGATAATCCCCTGTAAGAACGGGTTTTTAAGATTTAAAATCTGGTTTTTTGACTTCATGCTTTGTCGCAAAATCCGAGATCCGGATATCAAAAACTAAATCCAGATTTCCCAATCAAAAGGACCCCATAATTTCTTTTCGTTTGTTGTCAGAAATTCATTCGGAAATGTAACTGTATAACATATCGTAGATGAAGTGACCTCATAACGCTCGATGACTTCTTCTCTTCAGGTTCTGCTCTACTGTCTCTTGCACTTTTTGTGACTTTTTAAATTCTACCATCAATGCGTGCATTGCCCATAGATTGCCAAAAGAACATTGCAGTTTGCCTGGAAGAAATAATGAAGGAACTCACCCAAGTTCGATTTGAGGTTAACATTCTCGCAGAGAACAGAACATCGTTGAGATGTGAGTGAGATATCCTTCGTTTGCTCGTATTTATCATTCCATCTTCTCTCAATCGTAACTTATATTACGAGAGACAAATTCTGCAGAATGGTGAATCCAACTTATGTTTCAAAGGAGAACCTTTGAAATTCTAAAATATACAGTTTTCTCTTCGTAGTTCTTATCGTTTGCAATACTCTTTTAAAAAGCAATGTAGCTGAACATGGAAAGGAAAAAAAGAAAAGGATAACACTTTGAAATGTTTGCAGTAACTTCCTCTGACAGGAGCAACAAACATTCTATAAGAATAAGAAACAGTATATTGTTCGGTTTGGAGCGGATTCGGGAGGGAGGAACCGAGGAATGAAGGTGTTCGTTCCAGAATGTGTACGACAGTTTTGTCTCTGTGTGTTTGACAAACGTGAATAATATATATATATATATATATTTTTTTTTTTTTACGTCCGTTTTATTTTTGTCCTTTATCGTCGTTTTTATCCTCATTAATTTGCTTTATACGTAATCAAAATTAACGAGAGTTGGAGGCTAAGGTTAATAAGTAGATGATAAATCGCCTAATTTTTCTCGTTCTTTTGTGTCTGAGATCCATGATTATGACAGTATAAGTACATAGTTGCAGCACCTGAACACTTGCACCTTCAGAATAAATAGATAAGGAGATTCTGAGCAACAGTTATCGGATGCTACTATTGAAATTATATTCCTATATAAGTGCGGAAGAAGCCCACTAGAAAACATATTTAAAGAGCAGTTTTTATGTATTACTTTTCTCAGCATTTATTAACGTCTTCCTTTCACTATGTACTATTGATATATTTGTTGTTAAAAGTGTGATTCTTATTCCCTCTCGTATATCAATCGCTTTTGTTCTATTGTATGAAAAAAAAAAATGTTATTTGGCGTAAAGGGCATCTAATTAGCTTGCTTTATTATGCCTATCTCCAATTTTCTCTATTTTGCTGTAATTAATCAAAGGTTGGGATTGTTGAAGTGAAGGGAAGAATGAAAAAAAAATAATACAGATTATAATGAGTCAATCAAGTAGCACTTCTTTTGCTTATAATCAGTGTTCGTCTACAAAGTGCGTTAATAAACTTTGGTGTTCATACCATTTAATTTGACACGACATATATGATAAAAGATCTACGAAAAATGTAGGTTCCCTCTTTTTCTTTCCAAGATATAAATTTTTTATACATTTTTCGTAGACATTCTCACGCCATCGGACACGTTTATTTTATCTTCAATAGCTAAGAACTGCGCTGAGCTGTACAAATCTGTTCAAAGGGTCAGCGGTGTTTACACAATCGACCCGGATGGTTCAGGCGCCTTCAATGTATACTGTGACCAAACTACAACCGGTGGGGGATAGACGGTGATCCAGAAGAGAATGGATGGCTCTGTCGATTTTAACCGCAGCTGGGATGATTACAAGCATGGCTTCGGTAACTTGGTCGGTGAATTTTGGCTCGGACTAGACAAGATAAAACCGCCTGACACGAAACAAGACAAAGAACAAGCTTCGAGTAGATCTAGAAGTAAAAACTTGCAAGACTGTTCACTCTGAGTATGGCTGGTTTGGGATTGGGACCGAGACAGCTAAGTACTGGCTAGACCTTGGCAAAATCATAGGTAAGCAGACCGTTTTTTTAGCATGTTCTGATTGGTTCTTACTCGGTCGAGAGTTTGGTCCGAGTGCCACAAAACAAACTTCTTACTAACCATATTTTATTTGTTTTTTTAATTTTTCATTTATTTATTTATTTATTTTTTAACGGAAAACAACCATTTTTAAATTGCAAAGACACTATACGAACCCTTGAATTATGCGGATTTTTTTTTGTTCTGTTTTGAAACAGATGCCAATGTTTCCAATGATTCACTCGGTTCTCATAAAGGTTTCGTTTTTGGTACCTGGGATAAGATTCCTGCTGGTTGTGCTCAACAAATAGGAGAAGGCTGGTGGTATGACAGCAGTATTACCCAATGTGCTGTTTCGTCAAATCTTAATGGTATTTATCCACGTTGTGGAAAAGAAACCTTGGCAGCTATCCACTGGGGATACTTTGGGGATAAGTGCCAAGAGAAGCGCTCCAACATCAACTGAAATGAAAATAAGACCAGTGGAATTTATGCGCGTGGCTTGAATTCTACTTACATGAAATTTGCATCTACTGTTTGCAAAAATCAAGAAGTGATTTGTGTGACAATGAAACACCGATTACTTTTTTCAATCTATTTACCTCAAGATTTTTAGAGTGCAAATTAGATTAATGACAACATCATAGACTCGACTACACTGTTGTTGTAAAGAAGATATATCGTAATTTGCTGGTATCAGAAATGTTTTATTATTTGCAGACTTTATTGGATTTGTTTAGAATAATACGATTAAAATGTCACCAAACATAATTTTGGGAAAAACAAATTTTCGTAACACCGAAATTAATTCAGGAGAATTCTGTATACTGTGGAACACTATATGCCATAAGATAGAGTTTATATATATTTTGTTATTAATACTATAGTTTTTATATTTTCTAAGGATTCTTTAACTTTGCTATTTCAGTGCTATCAAAGATTAGATCACAAAAGGTACCTTTAAAATGTTACTTTATAATTTGTAAAGAAATAAAGACTGCTTTACAATATTTCTACCTCTACTTAAAACTCTTATTGATTGAGTTGCCATGGGAATCCACTTGTCGAAGACCTCCTATGCTCGAGGGAAACTGAGCCTACAATGGTTTCCAATTTGACATTTTCAGTGAGGATCTTTCGCTTGATCTGACGAATACGTTATGGTAACCGCTTACTTGCGTAAAAGTATTAGTTTAACATGTTTCAAATGTCTATGAAACATACTGAGCGCAATAACTCCTGCTATTTACTTTCGTGTAAACAGAATGACAAAAACAATTATGTTCCAAAGTAGGAAATGTTATCATCAGTCTCATGGAATTCTTCGCCGATATACTTAAAATTTCAAGGGTTGAAAAGTTGAGTAACAGACAAGGGACATACGTTCTCAGTTTAGCCTTAACTATTTGCACACTGTTCAGACAGCTAATTAATGAAACATTCTTCAATTTATTTCTTAAAGTCATATTGCCGTTTTCATTCATATCGAAAATTTACTTGGACTTGAGTGATACAATCCAGTTTCTTTGGATGTCTGTGGTATGCAGAGGCTGGTGGAAAACACAGTCAGTTTTTTGTTTAGAGGCTTTGATGTACCTGCTCTCCAACTTCACGCGTGCATCCATAATTCGATATACACACACTGACCAATTCTGTGATGTTTCATAAATACTCTATTTCATGACGTTGAATAACCACATTCTCTTTCCACAATGTGGTTGCAGGTTTTCTTTCACTTTCGCTTTTTTGTTGTTGTTGTTGTTGTCTTGTTTCGGGTCAGGCGGTTTATCTTGTCCAGTCCGAGCCAAAATTCACCGACCAAGTTACCGAAGCCATGTTTGTAGTCTTCCTGAGTGCGTTTAAAATTGACAGAGCCATCCATTGTCTCCTGGATCACTGTCCGTCCCCCACCGGCTGTAGTTTGGTCACAATACAGATTAAAGGCACCTAAACCATCTGGGTCGATCGGGTAAACACCGCTGACCCTTCGACCGGATTTGTACAGCTCAGCCCTGTTGAAGATAAAACAAAGGTGTTCAATGGTGTGGGAATGTCTCGAACGAGGGATGGGTATGGATTTGCACCTGACGAAGAATGTTTAAAATTTCTATCATGGAAAGAAGAAGACGGAACCTACTTTATTATAGATCTTTTATCTTATTTATCGTATCAAATTAAATGGTATGAACACAAAAGTTCATTAACGTACTTTGTAGCATACATTGATTATTCAGCGAAAGGAGTGCTA